GCTTTTTCTGGAAGGATACAGGATCTTTCAGGGCTTAAGGTGTCTCCAGCTGTGAAGAACACCCTCTCAGATGGGGTGGAGGAAGCCTGCACACAGAGGTAGTTTTCAGCCAGTCCAGATAGCAAGGGCAGCGTATCTTGCTTGTTCCACCACCACAGTGTGGCGCTATCCCTGCAGGGGATGGAGGGCAAGCTTTTATAGAGCTGGATTTCCTGATCTACCCTCTGAGCTAAGGAAAGACGGGGCTTTGATTCACAAAGTGACCGCAGTTCGTTGTCTTCCTCCTCGAATAGTTCTTCCAACTTGCGTAACTTGCGTAACTTACGTAAAAAGCGTGACGTAAGTCGTGCTCCCCAGAGCCGGCGCTCTAGGCTCTGGTGCTGCGGGAATCGAAAAAAGAATCATTCAGCGAGCTGCCAAACGATGCCATGGAATCGGAAAATACGGAACCGGTTCTGAACAGGAACCGGTTTTCGATTCCCATCCCTACCTGGCAGTTCACTTTTATTGTTCTGGTGCCTGCATTTTGAGCCACATTGTGAAAAACGGCAACATCTACTTCCAGCAGCCACGAAGAGTAGGTAAAGCTGTCTGAGGAAGCTGCTGGGGATTCCCAGTGACAGCGCACCACATAGCGAAATAATATTTTAAGGCAGGACTGTAATGAAGTGACTTGTGATGAACTGACTGCACAGGTGTACTTTCCCGCATAAAATCTATTAAAACAAATTTTTACCAGCTTATAAAAGCAAATATAGCAAAGACATTGCCATTGAACACAGGAGCAGCAGAGGCATCAGATGCATCTGGACACACTTTACTAGATGCGCTTGAGTCACTTCTGACCTTAATTTGTACAGGCATCAAAAAAATGAAGCAGCAGGCGCACTTTTGCTGCTCAAAGCCCTTTAGGTGTGAACGTAGCATTACACTTTCTGATTCTTTGAATTAACCTATGAAACATTTTTGTACCTAAAAAATTATATTGCATCTTCTTTATCAAATTTCCACCTCTAGTCAAGCATACATACTTCCCATAATCAGGACAGAAGCAGTTTTATAACAAAGACAAAAAGTTAGCTGCATTCCACCTCAAAGTGCAGGAAATAGCATTTCAGAGTCTTAATTTCAAAATTTTCTGGGGATGATACCCCCCAGATCCACCGACGCCGTGCAAAGCCTAAAGATGTGATATGCCAAGGTTTACAACCTAAGAAATATTATTAGCTAAAAGCCTGACTGGAGGCCAGACAAACCGATAACTGGAGGTGGCCAATACAGACCAGCACAGGGTCTGCTACAAAATCAGCCTAAGTTAACATATTGTTTTGTAGTTGGATGCCAGAACCGACACAGTACAGACAATTAGAAGTTTTATCCTGCTGCCACTTTCAGAAAAAAAGCAGATATCTAGACAGCTCTGTTTAAAAGCAATATGAGAAAAGTTAATAGAAATGATCATCAATCAATTTTTCTACTGCTGAAACTTTATTTAAAACAAAAAGAAAGCTAACAAAACTAGATCCCTTTATTAAAGTGCTCTTAGGGAATCTTTTTGCCTCCAGCTATGCTCCGCCCACAGAAATATGTCACATTGTTTAACAATTGTAAAGGGGTCGTTAAGAATCTCCCCTGTGGACAGTAACATTTGGGTTTTATAATTTTAAAATTTATTATTGGTCTCTGTGGTATCTGGGTTGTGCCTCAAAATTTTCGCCAATGTCAGGTCCACTAATGGTTGCAATAATTCAAACCTCACCAAGCCTCGAGTATTTTCGATTTTGCTCTTAAAAAGATAAATAATCTGCTGCTACAAAAGAAATTGGAAATTTAGAGAGCCTTATGTATCCATTAAGATTATGAAAAATATAGAGTTAAATGATCATTTAAAAAAGAAAAATGTATTTCCAAAGTTTAGTTTTACAGTTATCTGAGAAAACCTACAGCTTATCTAAAAAAAATAAAAAGTGCCATATTTTATTGTCTGTTTTAGAAGAAACTTAGAAACCCATCCTAGTGTCTGATCTTATGTTTAAAATATACATGTTCTGTGAAATGTGTTTTGATTAATGGAATATGTTGTAATAATGTAATGTTTCTGTCATGTTTCAGGAATTCACTAAAGCCTTTTACCTGAAGACCAATGACCAGATGCTGGTAGTCTACCTGGCCTCACTCATTCGCTCCGTGGTGGCACTTCACAACCTGATCAACAACAAGATTTCCAACAGAGACGCAGAAAAGAAGGAAGGGCAGGAAAAGGAAGAAGGGAAGAAAGAGAAGAAAGATGACAAAGAGAAAAAAGAGGAAAAAGATAAAGACAAGGAGAAAGACAAAGCAGATGGTGCCAAAAAAGATGAGAAGAAGAAAAAATGAGCGCTCGTCCCCTGTGGTCTTCTCTCAGATCACACCATCGTCAGCAGGATGGCGTTCTACTTTTTCCCCTCTGTATGTGGGTCTGAGACTAAAAGTAGGACTCTAAATGGGGAATTGTGTCATTTGAGATTTGGCCTCCTGATAACAACCTGACACTCAAAGACTGCTATTATCGTGTAAGGATTACGTTTGCTCTCCAGTGTTCTGAGCTGTGAGAACATGTGTATGCTGTTTTCATAGTTACCAAGCTCCTGGTGTTTTCCAACCTGAGTTTGGCTGTTTGTAAAATGGAGTAATGATGATATTGTTTCTGTATCACTCATTAAAACGGGAACCCAGTAAAAGGTTTTTTGTAGTTTTGTTTGCCTTTTTCCATTAAAGATTATATCATTGAATATGTTATTTGTATTTTATAATGGACTTTGTGATAAATATATATATATAGAGAGACCCTGCTATTTTGCAAATTATCCCACTTAGAAATCATTGTATATGCATGTCCACTGTGAAAGACAAAAACTTAAAAAAAATTCCTCAAATCTTAATGTATATTTAACTATTTCTAACAACTGCAAATAACCATTTAAACACTGATCAGCTACAAGTCTGACCCTCAAAGACCTGTTAGTCTGCCTTCAAAATGTGCACCTCCACTCCCTTTATTATCCTAAAGTAGATGCACCTGTTTGAGGTCGCTAGCTGAACCAAGTGCACCTGTCCATCCCATACAATCGGTAATAATCCAACCACTAAAAAGGCCAAGACCAAAGAGCTGTTCAAAGACACTAAATAAAAATTGTACACCTCCACAAGGCTGGAAAGGGCTACTGGGAAATTGCCAAGCAACTTGGTGAAAAAGGTCCACTGTTGGAGCAATCATTAGCAAATGGAAGAAGCTAAATATGACATAATCTATCTTGGACTGGGGCTCTATGCAATACCTCATGTTGTGGGGTCTCAATGTTTTGAGGAAGAAGAATGATGAATACCATCCCAAGAACACCAGTCCTACTGTGAAGCATGGGGGTGGTAGCATCATGCTTGGGGGGGGTGTTTTTCAACACATGGACAGGATGACTGCACTGTATTAAGGAGAGGATGACTGGGCCGTGTATTTTGAGATTTCGGGGGAACAACCTCCTTCTCTCACGCAAAGAATTGAAGATGGCTCAAGGCTTCCAACATGACAATGCTCAAGCACACAGCCAGGATAACCGGGAGGTGGCTCTGTTAGAAGCATATCTAGATTCTGGCATGGCCTACCCAGTCGCCAGACCTAAACGCAATAGAGAATCTTTGTAGGGAGCTCAAACTCTCCCAGCGACAGCCAAGAAACCTGACTGATCTAAAGAAAATCTGAGTGGAGGAGTGGGCCAAAATCCCTCCTGTAGTGAGTGCAAACCTGGTGAAAAACTACAGGGACAGTTTCACCTCTGTAAACCAAGGCTACTGTACCAAACTGTACCCTCCATAATTTTCAAGTGGGAGAACTTGCAAAATAGCAGGGTGTTTGAATACTGGCGAAATAAGAAGTGCTAAATATTCAGGATTGCCTAATGAAACAAAAGATGTAACTAAACAATTTATAGGTTTAACCATCAAGAATCCCGCATGAATGGCACCCGTAATTCTGTGTAGACACTTTAGCCAATTAAAAACCAGGAAATATCTACAAGTACGTACGACGTACTACGTTTGAAATAACACTCTCCTTTTTATCAATAGGGGCAGAAATTCTCTGTAAGGGAAACTAAAGAAGCAAAAGAAAACCCCTATCTGATACTTCTCTGAGCAGTTGCCTATTTACTTATTATTTTAGCCTATTTATTTTAGAATTAAATATTTTTCAGGCTTTTGGGAGAAAAAAAAGAAATAAAAAAAAAGTACTTTCAAATCAGTCTTGGAAACATAAAATTATTACAAAGATTAATTTTTAAGTTTTTTAGGCAGCTTCAGGGGCACTGTATGGGGGGGAGTTAGGAAGATGCCAAGGGCCCTTGACTAAGGGGTTCCCAAAAGCAGATAAATGTTTTTCAAATCTAAAAAGAAAATCCTACAGTAAAATGAATTATCTTTGTGTTCTCCCTGATCTTTCAGGATTAAACAGCGAAACGAAGCATATATTGACCATTATGGTCATATGTATATTTGAATTAAAAATTCTTAGGAACAGCATAAAAATAATCTGTCCTTTGTTTAAATTTATAGCAAAACAAAATAGATTATATTTTCAAAATCCAAAACCTATTTTCTTTCTAAATAACCTGTTAGTTTGGGAGTAAGATTTTTTTATGGGAAGTTTTAAGTTAAAGTATATAACTTTTTCATCTAAGGATAATTTGAATATGTTAAAATCGTACAGTAAATAATCATGCTCTTCGATCCATCTTTATAACAGTTTTAAAGCTTAACTCTTTTTTTTTCTTTTTTTAATTGAGGTGGGGGGGCAATATCAATGTCTTTCATGAGGCCCCAAATTCCTGGCGGCGCCCCTGCGCAGCTTTGAACAAATTTCTAAATCGCAGAGGCGGATTTTTTTTTTATGCAAGTTAGCTATGAGACATTTCCGGGATTTACTTTTGGTTGAACAGCCTGAGAACATAAAGCCACTTCAGTGAACACTTCATTTTCTCGGTTTTATTTTTACTGCGTCATTCCTTCCTCTCAGCTTCATAACGCGCAGCTCCTCCGCTACAGCCCCCCTAAATCGCCCGCAGGGCCACGAGCGCCAACGTAGCGCATTTAATCCGTGGTCGTGTCGCAGAAATCAGATTATTGGGCAGGTAAACTGGATTCTGACGTAGAGGGCTTAAACCCAGACTGGGAGGCAGAGGAGCGACGCGACCAGAAGCGGAGGTGAAGGAAGGATGCAGCTCAGGGAGGCTCCTCCTTTCCTCCTCTTTTAAGGAGCGCCGCATGACTCCCAGGATAAATCTCTGCCTCTGAGTGGAACGGAGGAGCGCCCTGAACATGGCTTCATACCTGGAGGTGAGGCTGCAGCTCTGAGCGGAGCTCTGGGAACTTGTTCTGGGTGTGGTTTATGAGCTGCTACCGAATGAAGGCCCTACAGGTGCCTCCGTTAATCTGCTCTGCTGCAGATTCGCACATTTATTACATTTTCTCTGACTAATCGAGCTTCTTATCGTCTCAGATCCCGGATGATGAGGAAGGACATGATCTAGACCTCTTCTGTGTGCCCAGACATTACGAGAGCGACCTGGACAAGGTGATCATCCCCCATGGACTCATCATGGACAGGTGAAGCAATCAACAGCTCAATGGGAAACACCTTTAGTTTGTCTGTGCTTTCAGTTTATACTGCAGACATCTGGATTTATCACAGCCAGAAGAGTCTGATTGTTAATTATCTCTTCTACGGGTTGTCCTGATGTTGCCAATGCTTGTTTGCATGCAGAAAAAAAAAAAGTTTTTTTATCCCAGTTAAAATTCTGAGTGTGCAACTCACAGATTAATCACAGAGTAGAATAGAATAGAATAGAAAATCCATTTATTGTCCCACAGTGGGGAAATTCTGGTGCTTAGAGAAGCAAAAAGATGATAGAAAAAGTGATCACATAAAAGCGGACCTTAGAAAAATGTATAAGAAATGTATAAGAATAACATAGTAGGTTTCGCAGCATGTTCTGCAGAGCGACCAGACTACTGAACAGTTTCTTCTGCCTGGCCATCAGACTGCTTAACGCTACATAACACTCCTCCCCCCATGGGCATGGACAATACACCCACCTTAGTTTAGTTTTGTCTTCAATTTAATGTTTCATTTTCAATAACTCTTCTGTGCAATATTCAATAACTCAGTGCAATATTTATTTATTGATGTTACTTCTTCAATAACTCAGTGCAATATATATGTGTATATATATATACTCTTTCCCTGTATATAGCTAGCTCTTACTCATAGAAAACATATTTATTGTGCAGGAATAAGGTCTTAGCTCTGTTACACTGGTAGCAGAGTAATCGACATTTCGTTCTCAAGATTCACCTTGTGTTTTTTGTGTAATGACAATAAAGGAAGTCTAAGTGTTAAAAAAGAAACAAATTAAATGCTCTATTTGAAAGTGTTTTAACAATATAAATACTGTGCACCTGGAGAATAAATATGGACATTTTTACATTAATGAATATTTGAAAATAACAGCAAAATCAGAGATGTGCAAAATGACAGCAGCATGTTATTTAACTAAGAAAGCCAGTTTTATATTTAGGTGACATTTTCCTTGATTATTAACACACAGTTTATGAAAACCTGTGTTGGTTTCTAAGAAATGTTCAGGATTTCTTTAGAGCAATAAAAATTATTTTTAAAATGAGAACCTTCTAAAAGTTATGTCTTTGTTCAGAATCTGCTCTCAGTACTTGCTTGAAATGAATTATTTGCAGCAGTGCTGCTGCAATGATTTTTTTTTAGCTTGTCTGGATTCAGGGGTTTGATGCCTGTGACAATCCCTCATAGAGTCTCAGTTTTCTGGTCAATCCAGCCAAGTGAAACCATGAAAAATAATGAAATTTGCATCTTTTTATAATCTGCAGACGACATTAACTCCAAAAATAATCACTGATTGTGGAAACTTTGCGTTGGACCTCCAGTAGCTTGAATTCTGAGTCTTTCAGTTTTGGGATCTTTATTTCGAAATGACTCAGTCTGGTCCTTTTTTTTCCCAGCTAGATAAGATGCTTTTGACTCATAATTAATAATCCATTTGTAACCCTTTACCCTGATAATAATAATTGAACTTAATTGATCTCATATTAGAGAAATGTATCTCTGCATCTTACCCATCCCCTTGGGGAGCAGTGGGCTGCTATTGTGTGGTGCCTGGGGAGCAGTGTGGGGTTAAGGGTCTTGCTCAGGGACCCAGAGTGCAGGCTTATCCTGAAAACATGGCTGTGGTGGCTCCTGAAGCACAGACTCCAGCTGTTATTTATTAAATTTTTATTAGTTGTAAGCTATGATAATCAAAATGAATAAAAATAGTTAATTATAAATTGGCATTAAATAAGTAACTTTTTTGTGTTGCCTTATTAAGATTCCTTTTAATGTATTAATGTGCACCTGTTGTAGTGATACTACTGTGATACTAGTGATGTAGACTGTGTGAAACAGACTGCTGAGCTTGTATGATCAATGTATGCTCTTCTGTGTATCATTCATCTAATAATAAAGGTCATATGCTGCAAAACTATATAAAAATAAATATTTAAATGCATTTCCAGTGTAGAGGCCTTTTAAGGCAGCTAAGCTTTTTTTTTTGCTGGCTCTGGTTCATCCTCGCGGTTTACTGAGAACTATGGTCTAAAAACACATTTCCTGATTCCTTAAGTCAGTTTTTGTCCACATTCTACTGCAGCGTCCCAACCTCTTTCCTGCAGGACAGAGCGTCTGGCTCGGGACATCATCCGGGACATGGGGGGACACCACATCGTGGCTCTGTGCGTGCTGAAAGGAGGATACAAGTTCTTTGCGGACCTCCTGGACTACATTAAAGTGCTCAACCACAACAGCGATAAATCAGTCCCGCTGACAGTGGATTTCATTAGAGTGAAGAGCTACTGTGTAAGCTGCCTTACTCATTATATTTCCAGGAGCCACTTATGCACTGCGGTTGGCAAAATACCAATTAAAGCAATCTATAAATGAGAAACCTCCCCTCTGCATTGCGCATAATGTGAAGATTTAGCGTTTTAGAGGGAGTTTGGAAAATTAAATCCCAAACTTGTAGTGATTCATTGTGTCTTGTATATGTTTGTCACCTAGAATGATAAATCAACCAACAGCGTTAAAGTGATTGGAGGAGACGAGCTTTCCAACCTTTCAGGAAAGGTGAGTCTTCTTCAAGCTTCAAACTCTTTTCTATTGATAGATGCAGATTTTAACAAATTTTTTTTTTTCGCTTTTTTCCCTACAGAATGTGTTAATTGTTGAGGTAAGATAATGTATGGGTGTGATTTTTATATTACAAGGTCTAAATTTTGTTTACATTTGCATTAGTTCTATTGGATTCAAATGACCTGCTAATTGATTTGCATGTATTGTTTTCGTTAGAGTTTTATCAGACTATAGCGAGTGGCTGAATCAGTGTCCACTCAGCTTGCTTGCTTTTATTAAGCTTTATCAGAAAAAATCCTTCTTCAGTTCATTAATTGGTCAAATGCCAGTTTTAACAAATGTATGTCTCTGTTTATTGTAACCACTTCCTGACGCTGTAAAAGGATATCGTAGAGACGGGAAGGACGATGCAGACGTTACTTTCTCTCCTGAGTGAATGCAGTCCCAAGATGGTTAAAGTTGTGAGGTAGGTAGGAAGCACCCCAATGTATTAAACAGGGCAGAGCAGGCAGCTGGATGATAAACCATAACTTTAACTGACTGCTGTGTCCTCCTACAGAGTGCATCTACATCTGATAGTGCTCTTAGCTAATGGATACCTGAATTAGAGATGTAATGTGACAGAGGGAGGGAGCAGCTTAAGAGTTAATCTGCTAGACTATAAACTGCACTCCAGAAGCACAGGATCTTTTTTTTTTTTCCCTTATGTTTTCCTGCTAGCTTTGTAAAATGGGGCATGCTCTGAGCAAGGATGTTTGAAAACAGGCGTATTAATGTTGTTTCTGATGCTGTTTTATACTGAATGCTTCAGGTTTTTTAAAATTTAAAAGCTCTCTTCTTATTTGGTTGAGCTTGATCTGCCTTTTTTTTTCTCCAATGAGTCAGTCTCTGTTATAAACTATACAATGCTTCAAAGAAGTATTTGTCTGCTTTCTTTTTAGCGTAGGCGTGGCCGAGATGTAGGACAGGGGATTAGTGTCCTGGAAAGGCTGAAAGATCGCAGGTTTAAACCTCAAACTTTCACTCTGGGTCTCAGAGTTGGAAATAACTTCACATTGTTCCCTGGGTGCTGCAAGCTGCTCACTCCAACCCTAAGAGATGGGTGAAATGCAGGGGATTCATTTTTTTTTTTTTTTGCAAGATATAGATCATTGCTAATAATATTAGGGCTGCAACTTCTGATTATTTTGCAAATCGAATAATCTGTTGATTACTTTTTCGATTAATCGGATAGCCAAAGGTTCCTTAAAGAAGATTTTTTTTATAAAAATTAAACCAGGTGAAATTAAAAGTTCTGGATTGAGAATATTGACAGATGAAAAATATTCTTTATATCTTAAATGCAAAATATTTATTTATATATATATATATATATATATATATATATATATATATATATATATATATAATATATATATTCCAGCTTTGGTATAATTACTGCTCTAAGTGGGTCAATCTGTCAGCTAAAAGCATGTTTTAGAGTCGCTATGCTCCAGTTTACGATTTAACGATTACTAAATTAGTTGACTATTATTTAAATAATCGATTAATCACGATTAATTGTTTCAGCCCTAAATAATAGTATTCCTCTTTAAAATTAACAACAGTTATATATTATTTTATTTATGAAGGAAAAACGGCTGTCCAAACGGTCCTGGTTCTATGGGATAATGTAATCACTCACTAGACCTAGTAACTGTAGACCCTGTACTGAAAGCAAACACTACAAAAAGAGAAATAGTCTAATTTTCTTCATTTAACTGTCCTTTTCCTTGATTTGAGCAGATAGGTAAGAACATTTACCAGTAGAATAAGGTGATTTACATTTAAATTAGTATATTTAATATAGTTAATAACAAGGTCTGTAATTAATGAAAATTATTAACATTTTAATTGAAAACCATATATCAACAAACTGAACCTACCTTGGAATTCAAAAATTCCTTGTTGCTCCTCAGTTATTGAATAAATAATCATATGAGCACAGCAACGAATATTTCTTGGAAGTTAAAATCATTTACTTTTATTTAGAAACCTCTGATATTGTGTTATTATAAGTGTAAAGAGTCCATGAAAATTCATTATAGATCAGTTACTTCTACTGAATATGGTAAAAAAGTATTCATAGCTACAAGGATTAAAAAAGCCACATCACCTGGTGTGAGTTAAAACGTTGCATATCAACCTCACTGCATCATCAGACTGGTAACTGCACAATCATGTCAGTGGCACCAAAATGACACCATAACCGGATAGCAATAGATTTCTTATGGCGACTGCAGAAGCACGTCCACCATAACTTAGGTATCCGTACCAATCTAAAGGTATTTTGGATGGAGCTCTGGTTTTTAAGCCTGCGTTTCATCAGTGGACCAACACCTGTGATCCTGAGACACAGACAGTACAGAGTTCCCGGCTGGAACTTTAGTATTTTTATAAGAACATGCAATTAATTGCGTTTTTTTTTTTAATGCATAAAAAAGGTTCAGATTAACTAATCGAAATTAACGTGTTAAAGTCCCTGCCCTAGATTAAAGTAGAAAAAAAAAAAACTCCCACTCATTTTTTTTCTAGTGGGTAATTTCTGATCATCTTATTTTAAGAGCAAAAATACTGATTCCTTTAACAGATAATCTTATTTACCTGCTTATTTTAAGGGGAAATACATGTATTTTAAGAATTGGCAGATGTTTAGATCAGTTTTTGCAGTGTAATAATTAATCTATATTTTAATGATTACATGCACTGGCAGAAGAGACTGGAAATCATCTTTTGGACCATTTCAATATTTCATCTTTACAATTTACCTTAACAGTTATCTAGAAGGGACAGTCAGTTTTGAGCTGCAGCCGTATTGAGATACGATCACAGTCGTCATCTGTTAGATCAGGAGTCTGCAGCCATGGCTTTGTGGCTCACTTAACGTCCTAAACGATCTGCCCTAGCGCTGACCTATGGAAACCATGTTTTTTCTGCCATCTTGGTTAATCATAAACGTTTAACTAAACTAATGTGTTTAGAGCTGCAGTGCAGCCAAGGCAGGTCGGTAATATTTTCATGAGTTTGGTGACCTCTAGGAGTAAGTACAACAGACTGGCCACTTATTGAAATCTTGGTCTGTTTTCTCCATTTGTAGATATTGTTCTCATGGTTGTTCTCTGTTTTTTTTTTTTTTTTTTTTTACATTCTGAGTGCCACATGTTTACACTCTGTAGACACTTCCTTCTTTGGCTGCTTAGATGTTCTCTAACTGTCCTCAGTGCCAACATATGATATCAATTTTTAGTAACTGTGATGCTAAGGCCCCTAGAAGTGGTAATAATCTAAAAAAAGAGAAAGGAGTCAGATGTGGGTTAAATGTCATTGGTATCGTCATTTCAACGTTTGGAATTAATATGTTAGATTGTGTGCTTCAGGTCTTTTTCAGCTGGATATACAGCCTGCTATTGTTTTTATTTGAGTTATATGGCAGTCTGGCCACATCACTGCTAGTCTGCAGCTCCAACAGCAACATGGCCTCAGCGTGGCTCAGGAAATTAAAATCAGCTGCACCAAAACTGGGTAATGGCCTGATTAAATGATTATTGCTACATAGAGGAAGCCTGGATTAAATAGCATTTTTTTCCTTAATAAAGTTAGTCCTGTTCAGCATTCCAGTTTTTTTATGTTAAAATAATATTGGTGGATCAAAGAGCAACAGAAATCTATTAGGGTTGGGGCACATTATGCTAAGTCTGTTTAGCACACAGAGGTTGATTTAATCCTGATACAGGGTAATTTTTAGATTTGGATGCATGGAATGCAGCTGCTGACATTTATGTCTCTCAAAGTATTTTTTTATTTTTATTTTTTAACATCCCCAATATTTTTTTTAATTATCTTTCCAGCCTTCTGGTGAAGAGGACGCCGAGGAGTTCAGGCTACAGACCAGACTGTGAGCATCTCTTTAGTTGTTTACATGCAGCAGTGCAGAATGATGCCATTCATTTCATGCCTATCGCTCATTCCTACATTTTGTTCTTTAGTAAAAGCAAGATAGTTGCTTGTTTAAGAAAAAAAATATGTTTGGATAATAATTCATGGCTGCTTACACCCAGTTTGCAGAGTCTGTGATTATGTAAGGCTTTTAGGTTTCAGTGCGATAATCGCTTTAAGATTGCCCCTCAATAAAAGCTGTTACTGTAAGTGTTTTTTTTTTTTTTTTATAACTCCGCTAATGCCTTACTGACAGCTTAATCATAGCCTTGCAGAAGCAGTAGGAGACTGATTGTTTCTACACTACAGAGTCAATTAGACTAAATGTCTGATCATTTTACCCCCCTACACCAGAGAAGCCATGGTTCTTTAAATAACCGTCAGTAAGGGTTTCTATATTTATTTCAGACATTGGTTTTGAAGTACCGGATGCCTTCCTGGTGGGCTACGCTTTGGACTACAATGAGTACTTCAGAGATCTCAGTGTAAGTGATGTTAAAACTGATATCCAGATTTAACTGTGCTCCATTTCTGTGCATTTTAACTGCATGAATACATGAAATACTAGATTTTTTTTTCATATTTAAAGAGATAGTGACCCATGTTGGAGTTTTAAGTCTGTAGTCAAAACAAAAAAATACAAAGATTTCATACTTTATTTAGATTTGTGCTCCTAATATTTAAGACTTAGACTTATTGTATGGGACTTAAAGGTATAGTGGAGGATTTTCACAACTTTTTGAAAAGACCCGCCCTCTCCACTTAAAAAAAAAAAAGCACATGCACAACCCTGTACCACTCCCAAGAGGGAATGCCTATTAAAGGCGTGCTAGAGTATGGAGAAGCCCATTTCTCCTCCTGCATGCTCTGTTTAAAAGTTGCTGTTTTCATCGCTCATACAAGCTTACTTTCCAAAAGAGCATTTGCAATTTTTCCACCATCTCACCACTGGAAAGGAAAATGGGGACGAGCATGTAGCTCATGCATTGAAGAAGTCAGCATCACAAAGAACATTACCACCCGGGCCAAGCAACGACTCTGGATGAATGGGAAGGTTTGGAAATCGCTAAAAGCATGGAACTTGACTTTCAAGTCTGGTGACAGAGAGGCACTGAGGACAGAGTGTACCAACTAGAACCGTGCCATCAGATCAAAGCAAAACCACAGCTGGAAGATCCAGGATCTCTTCCATGATGCCAGCAACACCAGGAGGATGTGGAAAGGCATACGGGCAAACACAAACTACAACACACCCTCACCCCCGATAGATGCAGCAAATGCTGACTTCCTAAATGAACTAAATTCTTCGGTTTTAGGCACTAAACAGCACCCCAGCAGTGAAAGCCGTTCCACACCGGGGGAGGAGGCACTCAACCTTGACATAGCTGAAGTGAGGAAAACTCTGTGGAGAGTCAACCCAAGAAAGGCTCCAGGCCCCGATAACATATCTGGATGGGTGTACAAGGAAGGTGCAGGACAGCTGGCGGGTGTCCTCACAGACATTTTTAACACCTCACTGGAGCAATCCATAGTGCCAGCATGCTTTAAGTCTGCCACCATCATTCTGGTTCCAAAGAAGCCTCAGGTCACCTCACTAAATGATTACCAGCCTGTCGCACTCCAATGATGAGGAAGTGCTTTGAAAGGCTGTTTAAAGCATCATCTCCAGTCTGCCGCCAACATTCGACCCGTTCCAGTTTGCCTACCGACGAAACCGCTCCACTGAGGACGCCATCTCTGCTGCTCTCCACCTGAGCCTAGCACAACCGCATGAGAAGAACACCCACGTGCGGATGCTATTCCTGGACTTCAGTTCAGCTTTCAACACCATCATTGCACAACATCTGATGGGCAACCTGGAACAGCCGGGCTTCAATGCACCCCTCTGCAATTGGCTTCTTGACTCCCTCACCAACAGACCTCAGTCAGTCCGGGTCGGATAGAACACCTCTGATTTCATCACCCTAAGCACAGGCCCCACTCAGGGCTGTGTCCTGAGCCCCCTGCTGTTCACTCTAATGACACACGACTGTGTCTCCAAGTTCACCACAAATCACATTGTGCATTTTGCGCAAGACACCATGCTCCTACAGAGAGGAGGTGGAGCAGGTAATGGGCTGATGCAGAAATAACAGCCTGATCCTGAATGTGGAGAAAATAAAGGAGATCCTCTTGGACTTCAGGAAGAACCGGCCTAACCACACTGCACTGCTCATCAACAGCTCAGCTGTAAAGATGGTCAGCAGCACCAAATTGCTGGGGGTGCACATCACAGACACCCTCACCTGGACTGTAAACACCACCTCACTGATCAGAACGGCACAAATGCGCTTGTACTTCCTGCGGAGGATGAGGAGAGCCCACCTGCCCCCACCCATCCTCACCACCTTCCACAGAAGCACCATAGAGAGCGTTCTGACACTGTGTGGTGTGGAGGCTGTAGCACCTCAGATAGGAAGTAGGTTAGAAGAGTAGTATGAACAGCAGAGAGGATCTTCGGGGCTCCTCTTCCCTCCATAAAAGACATTTAATCGTGTCCCAAGCCTGTAACATCATCAATGACCCCTCACAGCCCCACCATGGACTGTTCTCCCTGCTGCCCTCTGGGAAGAAGCTTCACAGTATTTAATGCAGGTCCAACAGATTCTGTAACCGCTTCTTCCCCGTTGCCATCAGACTATTGAACTGTTGAGAAAACTCTTAATCATGTCACTTAATCTGCATCACACTGATAACACAAACCCAAAACTTTGCATATTCACACCATACATATATAATGCTCTGAACTTCCATATCAATGTGATTTTTTTTGTTTTTGCACCATGTTTTTTCTCCCACACTCTTTACATTTGATCACTGCTCCACTCCTCCACTGTATTTACTATAAGTCTGAGTAATCCGGATCTTAAGTAACAGCCTACAGCTCTAAGAGATAAGGCCCATATTATGTGAGCAGTCATTAGTTCACTATGTATATTGGCTGTAGTAGCAATCCTTTCATATCGGCTGTAGTTCATCAAAAACTGAAATTTAAAGACATTTTAAGTCATTTCAGTACAAAATAAAATTAACTTTGCTGTTATTAACATAAAAATGTTGCCGCTAAATAACCACCGGGCATCAATCTGTACACAAAGAAGCTTTAATAACCCTTCGTTTAGTTTTGAGTTGCTTTTATAGTTAATGTCTCACAAAGTCACATTCTCTCTGATAGGATTGCACAACAGTCCCTGTGCTGCTTAGGAAGTCTGCCTCTAGATCAAGGCTCTATTGCTGCCTCCTTTTTCAATGAGGCTGCAGTCTAAAACAGCGAAGTGGTGTAATATTAGCAAATGGAGAAATTCATAGGTCGGACAGCTGAATGACATTGAGAGTGCTGCGATGGATGCAGTCAAGGACGCCTGTTGGAGGGGAATCACAAGCTGATGAAGTGAAATACTTTCATATGTTCACTGTTTTCATCAAAGTAGTTTAAATACATGCTGTTAATTAATGGTACACACATGATACCTGATAGGACTACAGGCTAAAGGTGTGAGAAAATATTTTAATGGAAACTGATTGAAAATATGTAAATATAACATTTTTTGAAATGATTGAAAATAAGCAGGAACTCTCTCCAGACTATTTCCATTTGTTGTGATGTTTTTTTTGTTTTGTTTTTTGCAGCATATCTGTATACTGAATGATCAAGCCAAGGAGAAGTACAAAGTATGAGTTCAAAGCGTGGCTGATGTGACGCCCTGAAGACTTGGACCACTGTGATGGGCCCTGCTTAGCTTTATTGTGTTTTTGGATCTTATTTATTTTTCTACATGACAATCCACATGTTATCTGTGGTTGGTTACGGACCTGAAGAAGAAAGTTTCTCCCTGACTTTATTAAAAACTGGGAGTAAATATGTATATATTTTTGTTAAATTTTAATTATTTCTCTTATTTAAGAATTTAAGTTGTGTTTTAGTAAGGAAGAGGAAATATTGTCTTAAATCTCTCAGGCTCTATGCTCAGTGAGCTGTTTGTACCCTTTAACCAGAGAGTTTTTTGTTGTTTCAATTAATACTAAAAAAATCTTACATACATTTATTTGCAATATTATATTTGTTATTTAGTGGTTGATGTATCCATTGAGGACCAGTTTACAGCAATACAACTCTAATTAAACCATGAATCCTTGCTTCTGTCATTTTTTTTTTTTTAGTCCCCAGGTTCCCATTTTCTGAGCTAAATGTGTGACTCTGTGTTCACTTTATTTATATTTTGTCTATTATAAAGTTAACGGTAGATACACTGTGTAAAAGACTAAGACTACCAATAAATAGGATTTTTTCTAGCTTTATGATGCTCAAATTAGCTACATTATTTCAGCTTTCAAATAGAGGCTAACATACATGTATTTTCTTACTATTTTGCCAAATGACCTCTTGGACTATGATTTAGGTCAGATGTTCTGCATGACCTTCCTCCATCTTGTCATAACAGTTTGATTGAATTTGATCCAATTCCCAGAACTGTGTTGCCTGCGTTTCTTACACAGATCATTTAAGCTCTGCCAACAAATTTTCTGAGAAAGATTGGAGATGAGATCATCAGACCAGAATCCTTATTCCATTTTTAAACTAATTTGGCTGAGTGCGTAGGGTCGGTGGCTGTTCACAAGATCAATTAGTAATAAAGCTTTAACTCCCTGTTTGAGTATACTTCCAGCAGCAAAACATGAACTATGCAGAGAGCAGCAAGGGAGATGAGTGGATAGACGGATTTATTATGAACTACTTTAAAACTGAGCAGAATAACAAAAACTTGGATTAAAATATATTCTTTCAGTGTAAATTAATGAAATTTGAAGTACATTTAAAGCTCCTTCTGTCTGTTCTGTTTCCCTAGACTCAGCAATTACATGCAGTGGCCAACTACTAAGCTGATACAAAACAAATGTAAATGACCTTTTATTGTTATTAAAAAAGTATTGAGCTAAATTTTATGGAGTTGTGTTTATATTTAAAAAAGTGACCGAAAATAACTTTTAAAGTAAGATAAATATATAATTACACTAATAGCATAAGCTGATGTTAACTAAAGAAAAAGTTTTGACCAAAAGTTTTCATTTAATAAATAAAAGGTTATATATATATATATATATATATATATATATATATATATATATATATATATATATACGGTATATAAAATTATTTTTTTTTTGCAATCAGACTGAAAAAATGTTCTCCATGGGCCTGTGTTCCTTCCGTACCTATTGGCTCAGCAGAATTGACAACTGAGTGATGATGTTTGGTGCGTTCGAGATGAGCAGCGCCTCGTGGACGAGAGTTTATGCGTGTTTTGATGAGCTGTCTGCAACTGAACGGGTTGACTGGAATCACGTTTTTATTTTTGAACTTACTGGTGGAAAATACACACTAAAACACTTAGAAAACAATAAAGCCGTAGGCTCTCATCCACAGTCTAGGCTAGACGCAGTTAAACTCGGACACACCTGCTGATGGAGCGAGGCAGTTCTCTAATATATTTATTTTTCCTTTAAAATAAGCGTTCCATTTTTATAGTTTAAATAAATCATTGGTTGGCAAGTATTTCTCTGCTTCAAATCTATCTAATTCCCTTGTTATATGTATTTGTTTCTTTTAGTTTCATATAAAAGCGCCTCATGGTTTGTTCGTGAGCATTTGCCACCCACAATATGGTGGCCGCTCATGCGTTTTCCTTTTTTTTTTCCAAGATGCGGCGTCGACCTAGTACCAGTGTGCTCTAATTCCATTGGTTTCTATCAATTGGTGACGTCAGCACCGTACCTTTCCTTGGTTGGTTGCTTGTATAAGAATAAGGCTGGTCTTTCGGAAAAAGAACCAATTACCGTTAACTACGCACACATAGCTTCTGGATCACCTTCCGGGATTACTTTTCGTTGCTATCTTCTACCATGAACAAAAGTTGCCTGTGAGGTAAATCACTACCTTCTCTCCTTTGATTTTTTTTTATGAAAAATAAACATAGAAGGGCATGTTTTCTGTGTTACAGAAATTGAAAAAAATCGTGACAATTCGTAAAGTTTTAATGTATGGCACAACTATGCTTCTAAAAGAGGAGGCAGTAGCCACATTAAAGCAGTTTGACATTGGAGAGAAATTCTCGTATCTCCCCGTCCTGCCTAAAGCCTCAGTGCTGATCCCCCTGTTTGTGAGGGGTGGTCAGCTTCACACCTTACTCACTCTACGCTCACAGGAGGTAACATACATAAATGACCTATCTGTGCTGGATAAATGCTGGCTTTCACTCTGAGCTTTAATTGAGACTCTCTTTCCCATCTGTAGTTGAGGACTGGTGCTGGTGAGGTGTGTTTTCCCGGTGGAAAGAGAGACCCTAGTGACCAGGATGATGTCCACACAGCCCTGAGAGAGGCACACGAGGAGATAGGTCTACCTCCTGATCAGGTTGAGGTGGTCTGCACATTGTTTCCAGTCTTTAGCAAGGTAAGGTACTTGATGCACTTTTTCTCAGAGTTTAAGCTCCATCATTTCTTCACAGACCTTCACGTTTTTCAACAGAAAGGCCTATTGGTGAGCCCTGTGGTCGGTTTCATAGAGGAAACATTTATTCCAGCCCTAAACCCATCAGAGGTCAGTGCTGTGTTTGCGGTTCCCCTGGACCTTTTCACCAGAGAGAAGGATCACTATGCTACCCACGGTGTTGCCGGGGTGACTGGACCATTGCACTCATTTTACTTCAGAGATCCTGCTTCAGGGAACCAGTATCACATATGGGGGCTGACAGCAATGTTGGCAACGTTGGTGGGTGCTCTTGCTCTAAAGAAAAAACCTGAGTTTGATGTTGGTTTTGATATTTTGGATCCTTTCACCTTTTTCAAGAAGATTCTGCATAAAAGACTGAGTAAACTTTGAGCAGCTGTGATTGTCCTGAACTGTTGTATCCAGGGTGAAATGTGAAAGACAACGTTTAAGCAATATGTTTAAAATGAAGGTAAAACTGATTTGTGCTTCTACTGTCACTAGTAAATATCTCAATACTTTCAGATTTTAAGATTGGAGTCCACTTTTTTTTGTTTCAGTGACAAACACTAAAATGAGTTGGATGCAGAAGCATGGATTTTTAATGGTTCACTTCACAAAAAAAGTTCTTAAAACACACACTGATGTAGTTAAGCTCATGTGGGTTGATGACTTAACTAGGATGAGTGAACACTGGAACATGCAAGCAGCTTTAGATGGACAACAGACAACATATTTTAAAGCTCATCAGATTGTTTTCTTTACCTCTATCATATATATGCATACACCAATAAGGGCTGAAACTATTAAGATTAATTATTGAAATAAAAGCCAACTAATTTCATAATCGATTAATAGTTAAATGAAGTATAGGTTTTATAGCATACCTTTGGCTGACAGAGTGACCTACTTTCACGAGTACCTTTACCAGAATTGTAAAAAATACGTCCATTAATATGCTCCATCCAGAACTTGATTGGAAAGATTTCAGTTTCACCTGGTTTAAATTCAATAACTAAATTTCCTTTCGCAATCCGATTAAAGGAAAAATATTTATTATTTTTGTCATAAACTCATACATTTCAAAAACTGCACAATATTCAAAAGCAAACCCAATAGTTGATCGAAGCAATAGAAGCCATATTAAGCTGTTGGAATCATTTATAGTATAAATCTATAAATACTTAATATTTAGTATTTTGGTTCCGACCAGATCTGTATGTAACGGACCGCTCCAGGACAATGACACCATAGTCCTGATCTTCTTGGCTTTGTTTTAGAACCAGCAGGCCATCAATCAGTTTCTGGTTGAGTAAATCCAAGGTTAGAGCTGGGAAGCTGCTGCTGTTCACCTACTAGTATACTTTGGGTATTTATCTGGTTGAAACATTTAATTCAGGGGGATTTCTTCTTTGGCATATGACCTCTTCAAGTAATTTATTTAAGAAAACCAAGATATAAGTTGTCCTTGGATTCAGGGTCATTATTGAACTCAGGTTTCCAACTCCAGCTTTTAAGGCTACAGTTTCAACTTTTAGCTCTGCCTCTGCTTAATCTTTGGGAAACCTGACCGATCTTTGAAGATAAATGCTTTCACAAACTGATCCATCTCTTTGTTTTAAACACAATTGCCCTAAAAAGGATCTGATTTCTGGGACAGTAATTTATTTTCACAATAAATTATTTCCAACAAAGCTAATGGAGAGTTGTTAATAACAGTAAAATGCATCTGGGATAGATCATATAGGGTGAACAAAAGAAAATAGGACATTTAGATTTTTATTAATTCATTTAATGTAGCAGCAGGATTACAGATATAAACAGAAGAGTATACAAATGTCCAGACAAAGGCAAAGAACATGTTTAATAATAGTTCAAATGTATAACACGCTGGGTTGACCTTTATCCTTACTGCAGGGTCTTAAGGCTAAGATACTAAAGCTCAAGCTACACGAAACCGATACAACAGAACCGTCGAAGGATGTGAAGTAGAAAGCAAACTAGGAGAAGTGAGCAAATCGGTTATGCACAAGATACAGCTCACACTATTGGCAAACGGTTACCTTATCATGGCTGCCCCTTTTGATCGAGCGTTTCACATCAACGAATGTTGACAAGCACACCAACACCAGGACGTTTTCTACAAAAACAATCGCCACTGTCTTGTCCCTTTTACCTCACATGTACAAATCTCATGAGGCGTGAAAAACCTCAAATGAAAACCAAAAGCGCATGAAAGCTGCGCGGTATTCTGAAAATAAAAAAAAAAACAAAATCACTAAAATTAGAAAATAAAATACAACGGTATGAGCTTTGTTGATGGGTGCTGAAATTATTTATGTCACAAGGGTCCGAGAGGATAAAAAGGACAAGGAGTTAGGACACAAAAGGGACGCCAGTAAACACAGCAGAGCAATGGTTAATTTGTCAAGGCACACAAAGTTCTGTTGAAAAGCATCACAATTGAAATTCAAGATACCCCTGCAGTGTATTTCACATTTAAATATACATGGATATTCACCTACATGTGACTGAAGGGACGAAAAAAAAGAAAAAACAAAACAGACAAAATGTAAAGATGTATGTGCTGTCTCTTCGCCACCTTCTGATTCAATGTTTACCAGGGTTCTTCATTTTCAAGTGGAAGTAAACCAGTTTACTGGAAAATGTTAAGGACTGGACATGAAACCAAACCATAATCCGATGACAGCTGATGCCACGCCCACTTCTATTCTCTGTGCCTCAAATAAAACAAACAAAACAAATCTGTGAAACGTTAATTGGTCCGATGTTAGATGTAGACCAAGCCAGGTGTCCACACCATGAGGTAAAATTTACATTCATGAAAGCGAAGTCACAGGTTGGCTTTCTGTGTTGGTATGGCTTTAAGAGGCATTAACCTTTCCAGGGTTCTTCCACTATGCTGTGTGCTCTTTTTTTTTTTTCATCTCCTCTGACCGAGAGGAAGGGAATGCTTGGAGACACGTGACTGAGCTCTAACCTGATCTACAGTAAAACGGATGAGTCAAAGTGCCATTTGAGATGCATGACATGAAAACAGTTTAAAAACTAAAGATGTAAAAAAAAAAAAAAAGATTTGCCCATACATCCTCATGTTTGTACAGTTTGGGTAAAATCAATAACGATGTCCACTTGATTATATTTCTCCACTTTAAACAGTTCACAGTAAACCTGCGCTTCATCTCAAGAAAAGCACACTCTCTATGATATCTCCTGTGCTATGAGCATAAACAAAACAAAAAAAACAAACAAAAAAAGCTTTGTTTTTACAAAAATACTCTACACTTTGATACATGGATACAAAATTTAAAAAAAGATAAGTTACTTTAAAATGGATCCCTAACAGCTGCAGGACAAGAGCATGACTATGAAAATGTAAACAAATGAGTTTATGACCAATGCTATGCTAACATCTGAATATTTAGAAATTGGCTTTATGATTATGCCAAATTGGCTGCTTTTAAATATGGAAAGAACAGCAGTGACAATATACATGGAAAAAAAAAAAAAATCAGGGTTCCCAAACAATAGCTGTGTAAAAATTCCAGACTGATCTTTTTAAAATATGAATGTTTTGTGTTTATGGTGGGTAGGATTTAAAACCAGAGGGAAGAGGAGATCAGAAGAAAAAAATTTCACTAGGCAGTTAGGATTGGAGATAGGATTAATGAAAGGGAGACCGAGGACGGATACAGAGAAGAACCTAAAGACAGAAACTATATGCAAGTAAGAAGGAACACAAATAAAGTCTGGAAATATCCACATTTTCTAAACAGACCTGGAAAATTCAGAAATCAAATTTCCTTCTTATCCAGACTGTGTAGGAACCCTGAGTCATGAACTGTATCAAACTGGTGGAAAGTACCTTTTTTTTTTCCTTCCATTTGTAAATCTGCTGAATTGCTTTCCACAGGAGAGCTGCATTCATCTGTAAAAACGAGTAAACACGAGGGCATCCGCGAGGACGAGCATGAGACAGGATGGCGACGAATCACAACAGGAGCTTTGGTACGCCTTGCTTCGCTCCAGTCAGAACCCACAACAAACAGCCAGCTCTGTGGACTCAACTTTGCTGCAAAGATTAAAAGTAAAGCCAGCGCTATTAGAAACGGTTAACGTCACAGCTGAGGTGCCTGTAACTCCGGTACATAGCACCATAGATAAAATCTAAACTCTGGCTTCTGAGTAACAGCGAGCCCTCGCTCAATATGAAAGAGACGAGTCATAAAACTTCATCTGGTGCCACTCTACACGCAAACAAGACATAGTATAACCATCTACAGTGAATCGGTAAAAAAAAAAGTAAACGGTATCCTTCATTTCAAAGTAAAATAATATTTTAGATGAATAGGTTTGGTGTAAAACAAAAATAAGAAGAAAGGCCCACTGAACCACTCAGTGACAAATGACAACGCTCTAATGGAAATGGCTGCTTCTGGACCACTGAGACTGAACACAAGCATTTGACAGCAAGTTGGCTTTCTATACAAACGCTATCAACGAAAACAGACCAGAAGATATGATAAAATGTGAAAAAACACGACTGATTTAAATGTATTCATAACTACAAAGACGTTTTTTTTTCTTCTCATGTACAAATTCAGCTTGTTCCTTACAGAGCTGCGGATGGGCGGATAATCAGGAGCAGGTTACACAAAAAGGTTATAAAGTGCTTGAGATAAAATGTCTATAAAACCACACAACACTCTTTTTTTTTTTTATTCTCTTTTTTTCTCCACTAGTGGAAAGCTGCTTTCTGTCGATAATTAAATGGTAAAAGGTTACCTGCACATTTAAATGGGAAACAAAAAACAAACAAAAAAAATCACAAAAACTAACAAACTGAAAAATGACACAAAAATGAATGCTGTTGAAATTCACCAAAGAAGCTTTGCTAGACCCAACGATGAGCCTAAACGGGAAAACACTGCGTGGTGACGGCAAAACCAGCCGCTCGGTCACATCGTTTAACAGGCTGAATCTCATTTGTAGTTGTAAAATATTATATACAAACTTTTATGTTTAGAATAACCATGAGTTGGTTAGAGGTATTGGGGTATAATATATTGAAAAAAAATAAATAAATGAAAGCAACAGAGTGGGACTAATTACCTTTATTAAGTAACGCTAAATTATAATTCAAGCTGGCGGGCTTCATGTCTGGTAAGCAGCTGCAGGCTAGCTAATGGGTTGGTTGAATTTTTCACTGGAAAATGAAATAATTTAAAGATAAATAGATCAAATCAACCAGTAATAATAATGGTCAATTTATGTTTTCGGTTTTAACAAGAAGCCATCATTCAGTGGTGTTATTCATCTATTCATTACTGGCCCTCGCCTGTTTTTAAGGAGTACAGCTGATAGCATTGTTCTTCTATCCTCCCTCAGAGATTAAATTCATGCCAGCAAATGTTTAGAGGCATCGTTATTCTACAAAGAATGCACTTCATTTCACCTGAATTTGTAGGGGAGGGACTGCCGTCATGTGAATCCAAGGTTTAAGAGAAACAGAAGTCTTTATAGCCAGAAAATATCAAAGATAAAATGTTCTTTTTTACTTTTTTTTTTTTTAAACCCTGGTTATATGAAGGATTTACAGTCACAACATGAGATTCAGCTGTTAACCTGCGCATCAATGGAATCTGATATTCTGTTCCTGCTCTGTTCCCAAGTGACCACAATCTCCCGTCAAGCCTTTCTGGTTCCTTCTCCCGCACAAAGCAGGTTTGTAGCATAATCTCTGAGGCTCACAATATCTGAGTACGGCAAAAAAACACTGCATTTTTTCTTCTTTCTTTTTTTTTTTAGGATTAATTCATCAAGCAGTTACGCCGGGCCTCATTAATTTGCAAGATGGATAATTACAAAAGGCGGAGTCAACAATTTGAGAGCAATGAATGCACACTAATATGAAAAATTAATAATGATGACCTTTTAAAAATGATGTCAAAGCTCATATTTTGGGTTTTTAGTAAAAGAGCAAATTGTTATTAAATATTTAGATTTTCTTGTTGTTGTTTTCATGGCATCGGCATAAAAAACCAAGACGCCACTTTTGCCGATTTAACTTTTAGCTACACGTCTGTCCAAACGAGTCTCAATGCTTCTGCAGACTTTCCAATATGTCCTCGATTTTATCCATGCCCGACGTTGCAGAAATCGTTGCCTGCATCTGATTCTGTATCTGGGACTGCAGACTGGTCTGCATTGGAGTTTGGCTGTTGGACTGCAGTGCATTTTCTAGACTGGTTTGCATTTGTGCCTGAATGGTGTTTTGCAGATTGCTGTGCATGCCGGAGGCAGCCTGGGCCATGGGCTGATCCAACAGAGGCTGCATGTGACCAGAGCTCTGGGCTTGTGTCTGAGCAGACAGGTTCGGTCCAGAAGAAGTGAGTATCTGGGATGAGTCTAAAGGGTAGAGAAAATAGTTACATTTACAATCAATAGCAGATAAATTAAACCATATTATGCGTCAGAGCAAATATATTTACCACCTAATACTTCAGAGTTCAGCTTCAGTCCTAATGTAAATAATAACATGTCAGGTGTTTGCTGTTATGTATGTTATATAAGTGTCTGGAGGTTTCGGTCATACAGATAGAGCTGCTATTCAGTCCTTTAGACAAAAATCTTTAGTTTGATGCAAGACATCAGGGGAAATTAGTAAACGGTTTATTCCAAATATTTGTTCTAAAAATTTTATTTTAGACATATTCTAAATGTATTATTTAATACACAATCTTGTGTTGAAATCAGGAAGAGTAACTACAATAAAGATACAGTGACTGGTTTGAAGTTAACCAATCAGATGTTATGGTCTGTTTAACAGGATAAATTGACCATTTAAACTATGATGTTCAATAGTAAAACATATTTCATTCAATATTTTTAAATATAGAAAGGTCTTTTTTTAATTTTAAATTCATGGATATGAAGACCAAAAGAAACCACACAACTGTGCATGTTGCATTTATTATCTTATATTATTTAATATTTAGTAAAAAATGCCAGATTTCCAGTGTTGCCAACTTACCGCTTTTCTTACTAAATCTAGCACCTTTTCAGACCCCCCAGTGCCTTTTTTTCATAAAGGTGGCCAGCACCAAACATAACGACTTTTTCTCTGTATTAATGCTTAATCTTAGTAGATATAAAAGCACTGAACTCTTTGTTTCTGCATGAGACGTCATAAGCCTCCCTCCCTCTCTAGCTTTCTCTCATTGTCCGCCGTCATGCAGAACAGGCTGCCTGCGCTGCAGCAGAGTGTAAACCTTTCCAATTTAAATCCAGATTGCAAATGAAATGTGCATATGCTGCTAATCCCTCACTAGAATGCAAAATTAAGACATGAAAAGAATTTTTAACTGACACAATTGTCTCACATAAAATAATTGCACTTTCAAACCACAGCCTCATTCTCTCCCCTTCTGCTCCTCCAGTCTCCATGTGTCTTTGCACTGCTGCTCCTTTCCTCTTCATGTTTGATTTATTTATTTTTTGCTGGTTGGTAAACAACTTATTACCATGGAGTGTGGAACTAAATTGCTGAATTATCTGTATTTTTCTTTGCTTGTTTTTGTAAAGGTATTTGTAAAACTGTTAAAATCCCCTAGTTTCTTCCTGTCATCACCTGATGGCGATGACGTCATATAGCGCCTTTTAGGACAGCCAATAGCGACTTTTCCTGCTGAGGAGTTGGAAACACTATTTCTGCATTTTTATCATAAATTTGGTGTGAAAAAACCTCAAAGAGGTCAGGAAGCTTCTGATAGCCACTAGTTTACAGACCTGAACCCTTTAGATAACCTGTGAGGTGAACTAAAGACTGGGCTCCTTTATGCTCCCTCCATTTATTTCACCACAGGTAAATTGGACAAAAATATTTCTAATAACTTTTTCTAAAATGGCTCAATTATCCACTAAAATTTAATTTAAATCATTGAATATTGTTTTCAACTATTCTAAAATGAACAGAGAATCTTGTTAAAGGAAATACAATGACTCTTAAACCTCAAATTAAAAGAAGCTCCATTTGTTTCTAAAATGATAAAAAGTTCAAATCATCTTACCGTTCTGAAGGCCAAACACAAACAGGTTGGGCTGTCCTTGTTGGGCTACATTACCGCCCACTGTGGTCTGGAAAAGCTGCTCTGGTGGCTGCTGACCCGGGCTGGCGACCATGCCGACGCCACCCTGGACTACAAAGATCGTCGCAGCGGGAGCTGCAGCTTCGTTGTTCAGCTCCTGAGAGCCGATAGTTCCCTGCAAGCCTGACAGCGACGTCTGTGGTATGAACAGCTTGACCGGCTGACTGCTGGGGACCTGGGTGGGGCTTGGAGTCACCTGCATTGGCTGCTGCTCCTGGAACAGGTTCTGCTGTTGGTTTGCAGTGGGAGTGGAGTTGTTCCCTGAGGAGCTCTGGACTTGGAAAGACATGGGCTCTGCCGTGTCTTGTTGGGGGATTCCAACACTAATGCTTCCGATGGCGGGAGCCGCTTGGGTTGGGGTGCTGAACAGGATAGTCTGCGAGTTGAGATCTGTTGTACAGAGAAGCAGGCCTGTCTGTTGGGGCTGGGAGATCTGGTTTTGGGGAACAGGGTTTGCCGGTGAGTGGTTTGGGATGTTCTGGAACAAGGAGCCCTGTTGGCCCATTGGAAGCTGCTGTGGCTGCTGTTGGTTCTGCTGTGGAGATTGCTGCTGCTCCATTGGGGTGTTCTGTGACTGCAGCTGGGAAAGCTGGGTTGGTGGTTGGTTCTGGAACATCGACACAGACTGGGGCTGGCTAGATGAGGTCTCCATGGAGGAGATGAAGGCCAGCTGGGGCTGCTGCTGCTGAGGGTTGGTGGATAAAAATAGGGTGGAGCCGGTGGACTGCTGCTCTGAGCTCAGACCCCCACCAGAGAGGACCGTCAGCGTGTTCTGAAGCAGCGCAGCCTGAACCTGCTGCTGGGAGCTCTGGGTCTCAGCCAGCGGCTGGGGTGACTGGAAGAGCTGCTGGGGTGGAGATGTGTGGGACGGAGGCTGTGTGGGGAAGCTGGTCTGGATGGTGAGCAGCTCCCCCGCCTGCTGCAGAAGGGAGACGGGCTGCTGTGGTTGGGCAGGGGAGTGAATCTGGGGCTGGAGCAGCTCAGCTTGCAGGTGCTGCTGCAGCTTCTCCAAGACCTGCTGCTGCTCTTGCTGCTGTTGCTGCTGCAGCTGATGTTGCTGCAAATTGCTCAGAATCTGGTTCTGCTGTTGCTGATCCTGGAGCTGAATGTTGTTCAGGACTTGCTGTTGCTGATTCTGTTGCTGCTGAATATTCTCCATGATCTGCTGCTGCTGCTGCTGCAGCTGCTGTTGGTCTCGAGGCTGTAACAGGAGCTGTTGTTGGATCTGCATGTTGCTGAGGACCTGCTGCTGTTGCTGCTGCAGTTGCTGCTGCTGCTGTTGCTGCAGGTTCTCGAGGATTTGTTGCTGTTGCTGAAACTGCTGTTGTATTTGTTGTTGCTGCTGCTGGATTTGTATCTGTTGCTGCTGCTGCTGCTGTTGCATTTGTATCTGTTGCTGTGCAGAAAGTGAATTATCAGACCCCCCCAACCGCAGGCTGTTCATGTTCTCCTGGACGTGCTGCTGTAGGGACTCTGCAGTGGGTGTGGGGCTGTAAAGCACAGAGTTAAGCTGCTGCTGGGCCACAGCCACCTCCAGTACGTGTTCGAGGGTGGCGTTACCTCCGGCCTGCAACTCCCTAACGGCCCGCTCCAACTGGGCCACGCCTTCCTGGGGAAAGAGGGTGACCTGTGACTGCTGCGGCTGTGGCTGAGCAGCAGCTGCTATTTGAGGCATGGCGACGACCACAATCGTTCCACTATTCTCAGAGCTCTCAGGAGACAGGCTTTCTTGAGGGTCTCTGAGGAACTGCTGAGGAACCTCTGCTGTAACTGGGGGTATTGTTGTGTCTCCTGATACAGGGAAGGATGTGGTGGAAGAGATCTCTTGCTTTTGGATGGTGCTGAGAGACTCCAGGCTAGGGAAGACAGGGGGCGCCTGGGCAAGCTCAACATCTTCAGGCTGTAGGGGCATCGGGCTCTCGAAAGCCTCTCCTCCTGGATGTGGACTGGAATTGAGCTCCAGAGTCTGCTGCACTGAAATCAAAGCATCGCTGGACGGCTGAGGAAGTGAGGAGGGGAAAACTTATTACTAAGTGTGTTCATAACTGGATAAAATGAATGTTTAGAACCAAAAATCTCTTACTTTGAAAACATCTGTGGATTGGGGGTTGCTAGACACCTCCATAGGTGTGTCCTCCTGCCGTTTGGAAGGCTGGTCAGAGCATTCACTTTGCTCAGACGGCACAGATTTGATTTGGCCGTCAAATATGCAGGAGGTGACCAGGGAGGATCCTTCTGTTTTCACAGCCTGGCCATTTGAGTTATCTACTGAAGAGTGAAAACATTAGACAGTCTGCTAAAGAAACACAGAAGCAGTCCATGTCTTCATGGCTGACATGCGTAACACCTCGTAAAGCTTTAATGCTTCTGATTGAACCACACATTTAAATTCCAGAAAAGTAAAATAAATAAATAAATAAACAACAACAAGAAAAAAAACAAAACAGGACTAGGTTTTCAAGTTGGAATACGTTTCGCTTTTCATCCAGGAAGCTTTTTTTCCACTTCTAAATGTCATTGACATTTTGAATTGAAAAAGCTTCCTGGATTTCCTTTTTTGTAATGACTATGACCTTGATGACTGAGAATCTTCACCGGTACCCACAGTTGAACGCATTTTACTAGGGTTTTCTGTGATTCAGCCGTTTGAGCAGACAACAACAACTACAACAAAAAAAGAGTCAACAAATTCACATCACACTTCTAAATGTGTACACGTTCGGTGGTAAGAAGACACTTCTTCCTGTTCTTATTTATAACTGCACTGCATTTTTTTCCTCTAAGAGGAAACTCTTCTGCTGTTTACATTTTGTTTCTTTCTCATGATTTAATCAAGGAAGTTTTTTTTCTATCTTCTATTTTTTGCCAGTGTCACATCAGATCTCCCTCCATGGGACAATAAAGGCATTTCTTCTTCTTTCACTTCCCCTAATAACCATACATTGGATATGTGTGGGACTTAAGAAAAGAGCATCTACAGGATAGATAACAACCATGGAAGGCATTGCTCCAGCTGTCCAATAACCAGCTGTTTAATCACTTGTATCTTTCATATCTAACTGTAAACTAATTTTTATATTTTTAGGTATTCCCCCCCAAATCTCTGGGAAAAAATTTGAGAGTGTTTTTTTGTCCTTTTTTTCTATTCTTGTTGGAGGTCTAAATAAATTCTGTTGCACAGTGACAACAAAGCAGCTTTTCCTGTATAGGTTAGAACAATCCACCAACATCTCCTACCACATTGTCACCTTCTCCCTCTAACCTGCCATTTATTTCCCCTGCAGCTGTTCCATGGCCTTGAGCCACAAGCTGTATTATCTTTAATCCCGGAAGGAGGATTTAGATTAAGGGTAAGAGTGTGAGCCTTCCTGATCTATAAAATATAAATGGGCTAATTTCATTTTGAGTAAATGTATCAGATCCTCCTATGTTTTTTTTTTTATTCTACTGAGTATTCTGAGTTGAAACAGCTCTCATTTCTTCAAACTTTAGTTCCAGTTAATCAAACTGGTCTTTTTAGTTAGGTTCTTGAAGGCAATTCTCCCGCCCACAGCAATCTCCCTCTGTTTTCAGGGCGCAACTTCCTTTGCTTGACTCATGATCATTGAACAACATCACAGAATCTTCAACGTATCAAACTGCTACAGTTTGCAGAAGTTGCCAATGCAGAAACTTTAAATGGCATCTTTAGGCACTTTGCTCCCATAACCTGACTGCAAGAACATTTGTTCCCATTTCCTTAACTCCATCAGAGATAAAACAATCAATATTAATATGTCTGAAAGCCCTACTACTGTACCTTAAGCTCAACAGACCTATTATAACTCCTAATTAAATAATTAGCCTGATGCCTTGTCATGCTTCACTTATGCTTTTTCTTTTTTTAAGTACAAAACACATACCGGTAGGTTTGGCTTGTATCTTATGTTGAATGCTCTTGTTTATAATAAACTATTTATTCTGATTAAATTTTAATATTTGGCATTTCTCACAGATGCATTTAAAAAGAAATGAAAGAAACTGTGTCTGTTAGAGTTCTCTAGTAATAAAGTACCTGAAAACTGTATTATTCAGACCTAAAACTGACACACATCCTGGGTCTTGGTGCCCTTTTTATAGTTGAAGACCTTAACTTCCTCTTCTGGCTATTATTAGATACACATGTCTAAGAACTGGATAGAAACTGAACTAAAAAGGAAAACAAAAACAAAAAACACACAAAAAAAGGTAAGACCTGTACAACTTCTTTGGTTTGCTCCTGACTTTAGAGCAGCTATAGCTTATATATACAGTTCTATATTAAACTTTAAAAAAGGCTACATCTCTAATGATGCTTGTTGAAAAACTATAAAAAAGTATTTAATGATTAAATCCTATCAGTTTCTTTATCCGTTCAACCGACACTTTGAACCTATCGCAAATCTTGTTAAATTAGTCCTAATAGATAAGAAGGAACTTTATAAGCATATGTCAGCTGGACGCTCTGATCAGTGGTTTCTGTACCTGATTCTGGAGTGTAAGTGAAAGACTGGGCCTCATGTGATCTACCGGCATTGGTCATCACAAAGATCCCCACAGACACAGGAGAAGTGATGGACTGGTTTTGGAATGGAGGGACCGTCACCACCAAATGATTCTGGATTAAACAGAACAAACTGCATTAGTGACAGGCAGACATGTCTGATACAAACATTTAGATTTACGGTGTCCTGCAGGGTTTTCATACCCCATGGATTTGTAAGATTTTACTACTTTCAACCAAAAACATTAATGTATTTTACAGGCATTTTGAGTCACGGACAAAAAGTAATAGAAGTAGGGCTGCAACTATAGATTATTTTGCTTATTGATTAATCTGTCGAAAAATTTTTCAATTAATAGATTAATAATCAGATAGCCAAAGGTTCCTTAAAAAAGATGTATTACAATTTAAACCAGGCGAAACTAAAACAATTCAAATTGAGGAGTTCTGGATAAAGCATAATGACAGATGAAAAAATTTTTTTTAATCTTAAATGCAAAATATTTCTTATACTTTTATTTTACAATTTTGATATAATTACTGCTCTAAGAGGGTTGCTCTATCACCTAAAGGCATGTTTTAGTCTCTATACTCAGTTAACGATTAATTGATTACTAAATTAGTTAAAGATTATTTCAATAATCGATTAATTGTTTTAGCCCTAAATAGACGAGGGCAGCAATTAAGTGGAGTATTAAACTGTATTTATCTCCCTGCTGAGTCTTTACTTTGCAAAACCACCATATGCTGTGATTCTCCTTCTGTAACATAACAGTCAAGATCATAGTGATGTTTTAATTATGCCTTTTATTATGTGTGAAGGAGCTGCATATATATATTTAAAATTTAAACAGCTGGCTGCTCTAACAGCTTTTTTCCCATCACCTCTGTAGTTTATTGATTGGTTTTAAACAGTTTCTGCTCACTCTTTAAGGCAGCCTTTGAAATCAGGTTTTATCTGCTCTTTTCCAGACTGATATGACTGATGGTTAACGCCGTAGGTCACTCTGGCTTGCCAAGCTAGTTAAATGTAAACAGAGAGTCTCTGCGATTTAACAAAAAGGCATTTCTTAAAATTGTGTGAATATTACCTATAGACTGTTGCTGTTTTAGCGGTAAAGTAACCATTTTCTTTTTCAAATGATGGATTAACCAGCGCTTATTTGCAAGTTTATTTATTTGGATTTCGTTTTTTAAGCTAATACATTCTCTAAACACTAGAAAATGATCCCTGACTGGTCCTTAGTCTTTATGATGCTATTTTTTCCATCATCTTCCAAGCAAACCTCTGGGGATTTCAAACACAGGTTTATGCCCATCATCTAAATTAAATCAGATTTGCTACTCATATTATTTTGGACAAATCCAAACCAAATATTATGCTTGTGCTTGCAGTGCAAAATACAACTGAAAAATGAGGTGTGAATACGTTTTCAAGGCACTTTATAAAGAATTTAGTTTAGATTCAATTTAGTTTATTTTTGAATAGTAGATGTTTGCAAGTACCTGATGAAAAAGGTCCATGTCGATCTTTGCCTCAGCTTGCCAGGAGTTATCATCTACAGAGTTGAGAGCAAATAAATTTTTTTTATTTTAATTTTTCCAGCATCTATTTAAAATACAAACACAAAAGCTTACAAGAGGCAACAAGATCCAAAGAAGTCTCAAAACTGACGGCAATACCTGAAATGTTCTCCTGAAATATGACTTTGGTTCCTTTGAGGAAGTTCTTTCCAATTATAAACACCTCATCGCCTCCTTTCACGGAGCCGCTGTGGAGACTCTTCTTCAGGATCTCAGGCAGTCCGGCTGGCTGGGCTGGATATAGAAGAAGTTAAAGAACAACTTTTTTTTAAATTATTCAAATTTAAAACCATTTTAACAAACAACAAAACAGAGCCAGTACATCTGCCAGTACAGTTTTCCCATTCAGTTTGAAATACTCACTGCAGAGAATAGGTGATGAAGGGACCTGCAAAGTCAGCACTGATCCATCAGGTTGGGGGATGTTGACTCTGAAGGCCAGCCTGGCTCGTGTACTTTTCTTCTTGGACCCAGCTACGCCGATACGTGCCTCAACATCTGCGTTACGCAGCTTCAAAATTCCTACACAGTCCACACTGCAGATACCAACATGGGAAGGTAAAATAAGCCTCACACACTTAAAAAAGACACAACAAGCAAAGGATCTGTTCTTACGCTAGCATCATGTCATTGCTGGGCTCCAGCGGGATCTCTATAACCGTGGTGCCGTCTATGTCCACCTCCTTACAGGCCGTGGTGTTGCGCCCTGTTACCCGACATGCCTGATAAAAACCATGAGGCTTCACTCTGCCCGCATCATTGGCAACAAACACTTGAAGGATCACTGGTTCGCTAACGCCTTCCAACTATGGACAGAGCAATAAAAAAAAAAAAAAGAATAAACAAGAAAATAAGTGAATGGAAACGGTGACTTAATCCCCTGCAGGAGAAACTTTACCTTTAAACTATGAGGTTTGGTCTAAATTCTATTCTGTATAAAAATATGAAAAAAAAATAAAAACAACTGACAATCAGATTGAGAACATATCTAATGCTTTAGACTCTTTCCAAGATGACATTCTAAATTCTGAAAATGCAATTTTTTTAATAAACCTTTCTAACTTAATATTTAAGCATCTGAGTCACTTTTAAATTAAATAGATACATTTGTATGAATCGTCAAAAAAAATTGTGAAGGGAAAATGTTATTGTCTATTTAGTCCCTGGAGCACACTAGGTGGCAAAGCTTTAAATTGCTGCTGTTTCTAAGCCTGGTTCCTCCTTTGATACCAAACAAACTATTGACTCTGCTATCTTCTATTTTGTTTTTACAAACAAAATATCAGCAAAAGGACAAATTAAAAAAATGTGATTAAAAATATATAAATAAATAATGTCAAGATTTGACGTTTTGTTTTTTATAGATTTTAAAATTTAGTTAATTATTTTTTTTCCCCAGATGCTCCAAAAGGAATAAAAAGGTCCTTTTATACATAAGCTGAAGCTAACTTCAACATTGGGCTGTTTCATGGTTAGAGAAAAAAATATTTCTTAACCCAACTGGATAACTGATATCTAGAGTGCTATGGAACCTACTGAAAAAAAGGCTAGGAATGTAAGTCTGGATAAACTCAATGAAAAGTCTTGCAGATAAAGCCCTATAAACAGACATTTTTAAGCTATTTGAATTTAAAGTTATTTGGTTAAAAGATCAATCTACAATTTATGGATACAAATTTAACTTGTGTTTTTTTAATATAGGTGCTTCAACAATTATATCATTGAGATGTTTATTTCACATTTTACAGATCCAATAAATACAGAGATTTATTTAAATTATTATTATCTTGATGATCATGGACATAAAAGTTTGGTTTCTCTGTAAATAACAATGCAGACAAAACAATATCTTTATAAAGCATTGCTTCACAGGTCTATTAAACTGCTGTAGCTTTTTCCTTCCACTCGACTTTCCATTATAGCAGTGGTTACAGGACTCGGAGGATAGTCAGCTTTTATAGTGATTACTTTTATTTGCTCTGATATGATTTTATAATCTTTGGTGAAACAAAATGTTCATTAGCTGCTAACAACAATAAGACTGACAGACAAACCACTGAAATACATAATTCTGTGTTCTTTTTAAACAAATTAATAAAAAATAATTCTTTTAGCATCAACATACAGTAGACTGGAATGTTGATTGGTATTAATATTTTCCATATAACTTTCAGGCTCTTCCTGGTTAAGGCTTAATTGTGGCTGTTTGGGGTCAAACCTTGACAGTGGGGAATCCTTGCTGTGTTCGATCTTTAACTGAACCTCTGCTGCCCTCCGTCAGATACCGAGCTCTGTGCTGGGTCTCTGGCTGCACCAGGATCTTGAGCTCCTTTCCGTCACTCCTCTGAGGAAACTGAGCAGACAGCGACCCACCCTTCACTGCAGTTCCTGAATCCAGAGAGCTGAACAACAAAAAGAAAAAAAACTCAATTACTGCAGACAAAAAGAAACTAAATTGCTTTTATTATATTGCTAGAAACACGGTGCGGTGCTGCTGTCATTTCAAATAAAGTAATACATTTTGAGGAAGGTACGAACCTTGCAATTGTGCTGCTCTTGTCTGTGCTGAGCTGGGAGAGGACAAAGTGAGGACCCTTGGCGCTGTCGGCATCAAACACATCCATGCTGTTCTCTGGAGGAGCAGGTTTGGGGCCCGGACGCTGGCGGGGGGTGCGTTTTCTGGATTTGCGTGGCACTTCTGTGTTGTCGTTGTACGAGATGGAGCTGATCAAGCTGAAGTTGGACACGGAGTCGTCGGCCCACATACTGCTGCTGTGCTCCGAGTCCGGACACGGTGCAGTGGATATGGTGGGTTCATCTTGGCAAGACATTTGGCTGTCATCGAACAGATCTTCGGGTGGCGGTGATATGCTCAACACAGGCCTTCGCTTTGATGGGGTGTTTTGCAGCTGTTGCACACCGAGCCCTGACAGCACTCCGCTCCCTACGTCCCCGCCTGTGTTGTTGGATCCACCTGTGCCTCTGCTGGGGGCGGAATCGGCGGCCTCCATTCCTTGCATCTCGGACACTCTGGCCCCGTCTCCTCCCGCAGAGTGGAGATGCGGAGAGACTGTCAGATGTTCTGAGGCAGAGGTAGAGCCGCCACTGGATGAGAGTCCCATGGCCAGGGAGGAAGAGGCAGAGGGGCTGGAGGTGGAAGAGTTGGCATCTGTAGTGGCATACACAGACAAAGTTAGCACAGGTGTTCAGCACAGAGCAGGCTAGCAGTCCCATTCAAGCAGCTGAATTTGTGCATGATTTGTTTTGATTTCCCCTCTTCCCAACTCTAATTTCAAAAGACTGTTAGTCAGTTTTACGCTCTCACTGTGCATGCGAGAGCTGCCAAGCATTGATCCAATAATCTGAAGTTAAAGTTGAGAAGGGTACTATTGGTCCCACAAAGTTTTGATTCTTATAAAAACCTCCCAATTAAAAATCAAGGTGACAAAACTGACATGCTTTGTTTACAAAAACAAAAGCAAGCTACAAATTGTTACATACACATTGCCAGAAAGAAACAGAACAAAACCTGGTCAAACTTTCTTGTACAGCCAAATTTATTTATTTTTATTTATTTTTTGCAAGCTGAATAAATGTGGCGCCAAATTAAAAAACAAAAAAAATTGCCAGGGTTACATCACAGTTTGTGCAATGTGCATTCAGTAGAAAAAACAGTAGAGTTTGCGCATGCCAATTGGAAGATTTGGTTGGGACTGAGCGTAGCCATGGAGACAGAATAAACAAGCCTCTGACCTATGGAGCAGTGAACTGCAGACCATTTTATATGCAGACACTCCCTGCCTCAGAGGGAACTTCCTGCAATAAAAACGAGACAGCCAATGAGCAACAAGAGAGCTGATCATTCAAGACTCAACTTCTGTCAATCTCTAAATTGGATGAGTGAATACACTGAAGGAAGGAGTAACTTTGGAAGTTGATCATGTATAGACACTTAAAAAGCATGTGCACTTTGTTAATAATGATCTGAAAGACATTACAGTAGTCATGCTTTTGATCAGCACTGCTTAGGGCCAGCTAGCCCAGACAGAACGGTGAAAAGGTAGCGTTAAACAGAAAGCGCCCCCTCCAACCCGACTGCTGACCAGTTAGTTTGCTGGTTACTCTAAAAGAGGATCCCTGGTAGTTACAGGTAAGGTTTGATCGCAGTCCTGAACCATGATCTCAGATCAGACTATTTTTTATTGCAGTTTATAAAACAAATGACCTCCAAGGGGCAACTTGACCATTTCATCAGATTAAAAAAATCCTTTATAAATCACTGAAAACATTACCACATAATTTATAATTTAAAACAAATGATAGCCTATTAGTTCATGTAGCATTTTCTTTTTTAGGCCATAAGCCATCCAAAACCATTAACAGCCGACAGCTTTATTACAACTAAATAACAGATGTAGGAGCAACAGAACTGCTTAAATATTAGAGCAATATTTTCATGTAAATTTGGCACAAAAAGCTCTTAGCTTTAGAGATTATTGGCAATAAATATTATACCACAGAAAAACCTGTTAGATTTCCTTTAAATTTAGCCACCAATTTTAGGAAAATGTAAGCTCATAAAATGTAAGAAGCTAACACACCGCCAATCTGGAAAAAGCAAACATATTGAATAGTTAGTGCTTCATTAGTGCAGGTTTGTGCAATTAAAATTATTGTTTGTGCTACTTTGATATCAGACAGTAAAGATAATTTTTTAGGACATCCAGACACCACCATCCCAGTATTAACCTCTGAATTGAACCAAAGGGTTGTACTTTTTTAGTGCCACGTTAGTGCAGATTTTTGCATTTAAAACTGTTTTGTGTTTCTATAAGAAATTATTTTTTATTATTTTTATTTTGGTAGATGACATCACCCTCCCCCTATTGAGCTCAGATTAAAACCAAAATGGTCTACTTGAACCACAGTGGTCTACTTTTTATGTGCTACACTAATGCAGATTAAATATTTAAAAATGACTGTTTAAAAAAAAAAAAAAAAAAGCTGCACAAAGTTTATCTGCACAAATCGTCACTAACAAAGCACTAAAAACGTAGATCGCTTTGGTTCAATTGGGAGCTTAATGAGGGGATGGTGACCTCTGAATGACCTAACAAGTAATCTTTAATATTTCTGATAAAAAAGTTGGACAAATTATAATTTGAAATGCACTGCACAAGTTTTTTTCCATGGGTGGGGTGGTGTTGTCACACACCTGGATAAGCATAGACGAGTGAAGGGGGTGAAACAATAAATAGGTTTAATTGTGATACCGTGATAAAGACAATTTTTAATATTGTGATAATTATTTCAAGAATCATCAGTTGATGCCGTAATAGAATAATTGTTAACTAGAGCATAAAGACTATAAAAAGATGCAATTTGCTGAAAGAACAACCCACTTAGAGCACAAATTAAGTCAAAACTGATTTTGCATTCAGGATGAGAAACCTTTGTCTATAAAAATGCCCTCCAGTACTCCTTACCAATTTAGTTATAGGTCTTACAAAATCAAAATTTACAGTCTATTAATCACAATTTGCTATTTAATTATTAAATCAGTTATCAAGATAACCATTAATAATAGCAATAGTAACTGAACAATAAAGTTATATAAGCTTATGAACGTTTGGTGTTGATGATGGGTTGGGTGGCTAAAGCTTGAGGAAACCTGATATAATGGGAATTTAACAAACCATCTTTTTAACAGGCAGCAGCTGTGGTTGTAAGAACCTGCAGCTTCATGCTGGTCTCACACACTGTGGTGGAATGGTATCCCATTCCACCTTTGGCACAAACAGCATGCCAAAAGCAGATCCAACAAGTGTTGGAAGGAGTTAAGCTGCAGGCAGGTCATTCCATCCATCTGATATCTACAGCACACATAACTAACTCTCAGGTGCTCTTTGTTACAAATCTGGCACCAATAAAGACTATAAACAGGCTTTTCAACACCATAAGATGCATTGCCAAAAAGCTTTTTGTAAATAAAGAAATCATCAATTCAACCAGTTTCCTTACCATTTCTGCTAGGTTTATGAATTGTTAACAGCCTTAAAAGCTTGGAGCTAAAAAGCAAATGAAGACACTAGAGCAAAAATAAATCAGGGAAACGGTTAACGCATCTCATTCAATATGTTAGCAATAAGTTTAATGTAAGAATTATTTGGAACAATTAACAGGAACAAAGCTAATAACAGCCAGAGGTAGGTCAATTATAGTCATTTCTAAGAGAGGCAGACGGCTCAGATTTGGTCTTAAAGGAAATACATGATTTCAGTTTCTAACTTTCGGTTTTACACAGAACTCTGCCTTTGAGGTAGAAGTTTGTTTGAAATCTAGTCTAAATGTTAACAGAAACTATATTTAGTTGTTTGACTAAATCATAATGTCATGTGTTCCGACAAATTACTTCAGAGTAAAATTTGTTTAACTGAATAAAACATTTCCATGTTTACAACTTATGAAGTTTAACATACTAGAGATACCACATTGGATAAAATCATCAGGGAGGGATATAGTGATAATAAACATATAAAGAAACATAAATACTGTGGTTGTATAACTGTGCACACACCCTCTAAGGATTGGGGATATGCTAACAATTGACAAACACCTTCTTTTAGCAAGAGCCAAAGTTCCCAGAGAGCTTCAGAAAACATCCTTGTCTAAAGGTATCAAGAGAAGGACAACAAAAAATATTTTCAAGCTATTTGATATACTAGTTAAAGCAGTCATCATGGAACAGCAAAAATGTGGCAGAACAACAAAATTATTAGTTAAGTGACTCAGCTACATTAAAGAAGCAGCAGGAATTTCCTAAAAATCTTAATACAAGTTATTAAGGGCAATGCGAATATTGAAAATTTGTGAACACAAAATCCAAGTCTCACAAAAGAACACTACACCCACATTAGGGCATGGTAATGGTAGCATCATGGTTTGCATCTAGTTTTCTCCAGTTAGAACTGGGGCCTTTGGCAATACAAGCAGATCCAGATATCATTTACTGACAAGCCTTCATGCTCCTGCCAGAAAGTTGAAGAATTTAATTGTCCAACACGTCAACGACCAAAAACAAAAATCATCAAAAGAAAGGCTTCAACAGAGAGAGAGAGTAGAGTGTCGGTATGACTCTGTCCTAAGCCAGGCCCGAATCTGCATTTCCCCTCATATTCTCATCTAATGTTTAAAGTAACATAAATGTGTGCCCAGTTACACAACCATTTTATGTAGTAATACAGCTTATAGATCACCTTAAATGGCAGAAATAGATCTGAAATTATGGATATTGGTCTCATTTTTTACATAAAAAATGGTATTCTGTAGGTAGCAGAATATGACAGAGGAGTTGGGCAATATGGATTAGTATAATCGTATCTTGATCTGGTTAATCTAAACAATATCCAGCTGCTTTAAAAGCTAAATATTTCCCATGCTGCTGCTAACACAGTGCCATGCATTAACTGTGTACGGTGAAAGATGGAGTCATGACATCCATCAGTAAAAATAAACAAAAAAAATAAATAAATAACCCAGCTTGATTTTAAAATATCACCTCCTAATCCTCAGAACATTTCCTACCAAAAGTAGGACTTTAAACTGCAGCTCAAAAACAAATCATGTCAATTTTCCTCCTGCTGCTTCACATAGTCTGTTGTCTTGCAGTTCAGTTGATTTTTTTTAGTTAAGTGTAGCAAGAACAAGCAAAACAAAAAACCAAAAAAAAAAAAACTGACTTAACTTTGGCGACTTATTCAAAATTAATTTTGCATCAGATGAAAAGGGTGAAGTTGCCCCCCGGACAATCACAAGGCCGTATTTGCCGCTTCGCCCCTGCTGACTTGGGGAATGGACCGTTAAAGAAAAACTGATCCCAGATCATGGTTTTCACAGGCTGGGTGGATGTCTCACCTGTGGCCAACGTTGCAGAGGGGGGAGGTCCCGTCTCTCCCCCGCTCTTCTGGCTCATGGTGGGTGGGTCTGTTTGGGTGGACGACGGCTGAAGCTGGAGCTCTTTGGGGAGGAGGTCATATACTGACTCTGCCATGAAGGTGAGGAGAAGATGCATTAGTTTAATGAAAAATAACTTAAAACACATTATAATACATCCAAATGTTTACATTTTCTTTTTGTCAGTTATTATGGCCTGCTCTGTCTGAAACCTATAGTCTTTCTAGAGGTTTCTAAAGTTCAAAAACAGAACAGTATCTACCTTCGAAGAAGATTATTATTATTATAAAAGTCAATACTTTTCCAAGCCTAACCCAACCAAATCAAAATATCAAATAATGTAGGCCAGAAATGTCAAATGTTGTACTTTATTTAAATATAGAACCCTGAAGATGCAGATATGGATAAATGGATGAATAAAAGACATGGATGGACAGTGTCAGACAGATGAATGATCAGGTCAAGGACAAATATAGATAAATGGACCAAAGAATGGGGAATGAGTCAAAATACAAACATGACTCCATTACATTTGGAAAATTCTTCAATCCAACCTACACTTTTCCATACTACATATAGCTCCTTGGATCTCATATCAAAATAGCAACTCTATAGATAAACCACCACAACACAGGACAACAAAATAAACTAAATTTGTCTCCTACAGTACAGTCAAGTAAAAGCATAATTATATTTGATCCTAACATCATTCCTGACTGAAATCTCTAACATCTATAACACAACATTAAGCCTCATACTGGCTGATAAACACATCATTCTGCAACCCAGTTGCTAAGAAACAGGCACCTATCAACATTGTGACATGGATATTTCAGCTGCGCATTGGCAGCAGCAGCCAGCATGTGTAGTAGTCATCTGACACTTGGCACCAGCAGCGTCTTAACGCAAACTAGAGACTTGATCTCACACTTCTGACGTAAACAAGCAACAAATCACCAGTCCTGTTCACACAGTTCATCACAGACAAGGATGAGAGTACTGATGTTTGAAAATGAGAGCCGACTGTACTTTATGATGCTTGTTCAGAGCTTGTCTGCTAATGCTTTAATGTTTGCAGTAAATGCATATTACAGGAGAGAAGGAAGAGAATCACTAAGAGATCCACTTGGCTTGAAAGCCAAAACAAAACAAAGCACAGACCAGTTAATTCATGATTACTGGGTAAAACCAGCAAATCTTGTAAGATCTATGACCTGTGCAAATAAAAATAGATGAAAAGAACCGAATTAAACCGTCTGCAGATGAGTTAGGACCATAAACTACTCCTAATAAAATGAGTTTTCATATTGTGTGTAACCATCTTCAATGTGGTTTTACAATTCTGGCAAGGCTTTGTTATATTTTAAAGAAAGCAGGTCTTTGTTTCTGGTTTCATCAGAGATTAACTGCAAAGGCGACATGACCTCAGTCTAAACTACAATCATTGGCACCGAGGAGCTTAAGTCTACTGCATGTGTGTTCAAACAGAAGCCGTTTGTCAGCTGCAGAAGAAGTCAGAGAAACAAATATCTTCATTGTAACACAGAACATGTGCAGCAGCAGGAACTCGATATATTTCTGTCGAACAACAGAAGGACATCACATGAGAGGGACAGGAATGGCAGTTTATCCTGTGATCCGTTGTAGGAGGAGGGTTCAAGGAGATTAGGTGGCTGTGACCGACCTGATCAAAACGGCTACACGCTTGGTTAGAGTCTGTGCTCTGCTGACAATTTCAATTTAATGCCAGACTGTCAGACAGGTTTCCTCACATTAAATGATGAACATTATTCCAAATTGTAGCATTAAACCAATGTATTCGATAATTTAGTTCAAACACATTTTAATACTGATGCAGCACAATCTGGGACATCTCTACAAGTATTCAATGCTTAAAGGGGAAGTCCTGGTATCAGTGTTTGTTCCTCCTATAACTTGTTAAACTATCTAGTTTTTAACTTGTCGAACCTACTATAACTGATTTCTGTATTTTGATACACAGTGGGAGAGCCATGGCTACTATCCCCACAACCATGTGGGAGATTTTTTAAAAATGCAGACAGTTTAGCTTGCTCTGCAGGTGGTTGCAACATTTTCCCACCACAGTCTGTCCACTGGCGGGAGTGTATGTTCACCTGTACACTCTGGGGGCAGGGCAGGGCCACAGGGTAAACACTGACCTGTGTGCAAATCCCTGCAACTCATACGAACAAGCAGACATTTGAATACCGCACAGATTAAGTTTCAAGTAACTTCCCAAAGCATTTATGGAGCATCTTTACAAGACGTTTGATCTAAACAAGACTCTAACCTTAGTGGGGATCTAGGAAATTGATTTTAACAGCTTTTACTTTAACAATGAAGAATACATACATGGCGCATTTGGTTTTTTTGCAGACTGAATCTTAGAATTTTGGGTCACCTGCCAGATGATAAAAAAAAAAAAGAATTTAAAAGTCACTTGGAGGCGAGCATGCAAAGTGCTTAAAATCTGCCACAAAAATTAAAAACACAGACTAATAAAGCCTGAAAAGGCGACATTGGTCAAAACAGTGGGCCGCAACAGAAAAGTCACTCGGGCGGAGGTTTGACTTCAACCTACACCGAGAACAATTAAATTATGTCATCTCATAGCTATGTGCTGCTCACATTACGCATGCCTCAGAGGTTCTGCCAAGACACAAGGGCATCGGTCCGTTTCTATTCTTTACAGCTGGCCTGCGGCTATTTTGGGGGGGGCGATGAGAGGGCGAAGTAAAAGGCTATGTTTTAGTAGTATATAAAAGAATAACAATTTTAGCAAAAGCAAGAATTCACCTCGGTGCAAAGGCTCAAGCCAGAACCAAAATAAAAGATTTACTCAATGCAATCAAACTAGAAAAAAGAATGTATACTTTTTCCAACTCTTTAACACAATTTTATTTCACTTCTTACAAAAACAATGAACAGCTTTGGAATCTGTTTTTTTCCTGCCTACAATAATCAGCTATACAAGCTGAGCTGAAACAGATAAACAGATAAATAAAAAATTTCAATTAATTAAAAACCCAGTCTCCCCTTGTTTTGTGAAAACAGGAACCAACTCCATCTCCGTTTACTCTACATACTTCCTTTAAATCGCTCTGCAGTTTTGGGTATAATATCTAAAATTTGTACGACAGGTTTAATTTCCCACAAAGACATCTAAAAACTGTTTTATTATCTCTATAGTTTCATAAAGCCTAACTGATAACCACCCTGAAGGTAAACTGTTAATACTTCAAAAAAATACTAATTATTTTACCTGCAACACTTCTTTGTCTTGTTTAAGCTGAGAGAGAACAGCTCTGGTGGCCGACAGCGGCAAACATCCAGTTGTGGGTGGGTTTCTCAGACAGATGGCCTCTACATTCAGAAACTGACCATTACTGCCAACCTGGGCATTAAGCTGCGTGGACAGTCCACTGTATCATCAGCAAACATCTCAGAGTTGCTTTTGTTGGCAAGCAAAACTCAGAAATGAATTGTAGACAAACTCCTTACAGATCCTTTTCAACTCAGCTTTTTAGTCCATTATTAGAAAAATTACATGCCTGGTACATGGCTATAATCTAGATTGTTTACATTTACAAACATACTTTATAGTACAGGACCACAATGGATTTGAAATATTTTCAAGAATTGTCATCCGTCTCACTTTGAGGCCCAACAACAAAACAAAAACATAAGAGACAGACAAAAGAGGACTATTTGGAGCCAGTTGTCTTCCATACGTATTTGAGTTGCTCTTTTATTTTGAATAAGAGCTTCTGCTACTTAGATTCCAACACGTACTCCCACTCTCACACTCCCCCAGTTACTGAGATATAAATAAACAGTTATGTTGTGGAGTGTGACCATATGGTAAGTCTCACCTAAGCAGGTCAGGGTTACAGAGCTTGCTGTTGGCTTAAGGAGGCTAGGACAGATGTGGCACCAGCAGGCAGGTTCAGCATCAACGTTTAAAATACAGACAAAATCTGGGGTGGCATCAAATCAGAATATTTATCTTTAATCATGTTTGAACATTAAACCCTGGGCATCGCTTCATAAATAAGACTTAAAGACACGAGCAGCCTCGTGTACAAAGGAGTGTGCAGCTTTCCTTTTTATGCAAGATTGGGAAATTTTTAAATTTGCAGAACAAAAAAATAAATAAATTCAGAAATATAAAACCTTTGACATGTCACTGCACAACAATCCAATTTGGGTTGAATTGGTTAAATAATGATGGCCCAAAAATATGTATGTAAACAAGTATAAACAACCAAAAGACATCATCTGTCCTAGTTGCCATCGCAAGGTTTGTCACCGAGAGACTCTGTCGACATGAAAGAGTCTCATTAAGTATTAAAAAAAACATCAACTCTGTGGACATTTTTGGATTGACATTGTATTATTAAACCCAGATTGTGTTTTGTGCTGCATTGAGTCCAATTATTGTAACATCAAATCATTAAAATTCACATGAATATTTCCTTCAGGAAAATGTGACCAGACACAATCTGAAATAAAGTTATGCACTACCGCATAAATTTGACCCAAGTATTATTATAATTTCAGATATTAAATTCTTTTTCAGGTCAATAAACAAATGGTGAAATCCTTTGTTGAATGGCTTATGAGATCCCCTTAAACACAAAAAATTACTAATCTAAGTTGTTGTGAGGAAATTAAACAGTTACGCTTACCTGATTAGAAATATGTTAGGATCTCTGAAATAGGATTTAATCTACAGGGATGAATGTGGCCTTGAATTTTCAGGTAACTCCACCAATCTGCTGGTCCAAAAAGGTCTGCTATCAGGTTCCAAAACAGAAGAACTGTTAAATTTTACAGCAGTGTGGTGCTGCCAGATACTTTAAGGGGCACAACAGATGAAGGTTACAGGCCTAGCAACCCAAGTCGCTGAACGTCACACAACTGTTGCTTTAAAAGATTCAGAGTGACACAAAAAAGAATCAGAATTCCTTTAAAGAAAAATTTTAAAGAAGCCAGCCATCACACACAGACCCGAGTTTAAGTCTCTTCTTAGACACATTTGTGCATTATATAGGAGCACAGCTATTTAA